AAGTAAATTTACTTTTCTTGCTGAAATGAATAACTACGTTAGACTTATAATAGGTTTAAATTGTTTAAGATATTGCATAAAGAGGGAGACTAACGTTGCTTTCATTTTCATTTTGGGGACACAATCTCTGCGTATTGATTTTGTTCTCTGCGAAACTAAACGAAAATATGTATCCAAAGAGTTCCCCCCTCCTTATATCATTTCTTTTTTCTGAGAAGAGTAAAACGATTTTGATGAATAATGAATTTCTGAATGTGCAAATTTTACTAATTTTATGCTTATTCTTAAAATAACTAAATTTATATTAGGGCTTAGAAACTTAATGAGAGCGAAATGGGTTTCATTAAACAATTTTCAGATTTAAAAAATTGCTTTTTAATTAAAAAATTCGTATAATATTCTCGAACATTATACTGTATATTTTAAGTGAAAAGAAATTGCGTTATCCTACTCGAATACTCTGTTGGGGGGGGGAACGACGCACCGAGAAGATATAAAGCAAACTGGACACAAATTGATATGCATACAGGTTTCGACAGAAATGCAAAATTTTACATTTTGGCTGCCAATGAATGAACGGTTGTTGCTACAGCGCATCTGATCATCTGCGCAATTGGCAGGATATTTAAGAGGAGAAATTACGATTCTAGGTCATAAATTCTTCACGAATTTCATTCTGTGTACTCTGGTAGACAGTAACTATGCCTCGCATACAGGTGCGCGAACGATCAAGATGTCAGAATTTGAGAGAGATCGTATAGTTGGGCTCAAAGAAGCCGGTTGGTCTTATCGACGAATAGCTCGACATTTGAGCAGGAGCGATGCCACTATTAGACGATGTTGGCAGGAATGGGTGAACCATGGCCGCACACAGCGTCAAGAAAGAAGCGGTAGGCCTAGAGAAACGACAGAACGTGAAGATCGAGCAATCGTCAGAGCGGCACTCACGGCCCCAGATGCATCATTATCATCGATTGTACGTGCAACTAGTGCTTCAGTGTCCGCAAAAACCATTCATAGACGGCTCACAGAAAGGGGACTGAGGCATGGCGCCCCTTGCGCCTACTACCATTGACCTCTGTACAACGTCAAGCCGGTTTGCAGTGGTGTCGGCCTCTTTCGCACTGGAATGTCACTGACTGGAGTAGAATAGTCTTCAGTGATGAGTCCCGCTTTGAACTGAGCCCCGATGACCAGCGAATGCGAGTCTGGCGACGCCCCGGACAGCGGTGTGATACCAACCTGACTGTCTTCCGGCAGACAGGCTGACAAGCAGGAGTGATGGTCTGGGGTGCCATTTCATTTCATAGTAGGACCCCTTTGGTTGTCATCCGTCGCAACCTTACAGCACAGAAGTACGTGGACGAAGTTCTAAGGCCCGTTGTGTTGCCCTTCTTGTCACGCCACCATGGGCTTACATTTCAGCAAGATAATGCCCGCCCCCACACTGAACATGTTTCTAACTGCTTGCCTTAGTGGTTGCCGAACATTACCTTGGCCAGCAGGGTCACCGGATCTCTCTCCTATTGAGCACGTTTGGAGCATTATGGGCATGGCCCTCCAACCAGCTTGGGATGTTGACGATCTAACGCGCCAGTTCGACAGAATTTGGCACGATATCCCTCAGGAGGACATCCACAACCTCTATCAATCGATGCCAAGCCGAATAACTGCTTGCATTGAAGAGACATTAGGATTTTTTGGAAGCAGGCAAGATGAAAAATTAGCAATCGCCTTCGCCGGGAATCGAACCACGGACCTCTGGAATACCGACCCAGCGTGCAGAACCACTACACCACAAAGACACGCTAGGAAAGGGGGAGAAATACCTTATATACTCCCCTTTTTAAAGGGCGACTAGGGTTTTAGGGGACCTACTCGCCAAATCCTGGGTGCGGAGAATCATCATCCGCAACCCTTTTAGTTCGGGAGCCACTTGTAGAGTCATTAGGTTTATTGGAAGCAGAAAAGATGAAAAATATGCAACCGCCTTCGCCGGGAATCGAACCACGGACCTCTGGAATACCGGCCCAGCGTGATGAACCACTACACCACGAAGGCACGCCAGGAAAGGGGGGAGAGAAATACCTTATAGCATAAGGGCCAGAGGTGGACAAACGCATTACTGACTTTTTCATTTTGTGAAGCACTATCACTTCAAATATATCATCCAATTTTTTCTCAAACTGTAATCATTTGTTTTTCTGTACGTGTACATCACTTCTACCGATTTTCGTCCCATTCAGATAACTCCTTCTTGGTGCGTCGTTTTTTGTGTCTAAGAGTACATATGAGTCTGTATACTGTTTCACCACAGCAAATTTCCTTCATGGATTTTATGTAGAAACTACTCTGATCGTAAGCAACAGCAGTGTTTAAACTAGGGTTTCATAAAATTTAATTTGAATTATTTCGAAGTATATTTATTGAAAACAAAATTTTGTTTGTTTAATTCGATCTTAATTTCATAAATACTAAAACGCATTTAGGAAATTTATGTAAACGTAGCTTAATTTCGGAAGAATATAATATATTCACTATTAGATTTATAATCACGATTTACTTTGTGATGCCAATAAGGCGAAGAGAACTTAATTGTCTTTCAAACTGTCAGATCTGATGAATCGCCGCAAGTATCCGATGTCCATCTTCGATGAAGGTTTCGTGTGTGTGTGTGATTATGGCAAACCTTCGAGGGCTATCTGCCTAAGGGGAGGGATGCCTTCGTGGAGGACTTTCTAAGGCAAACTGGCTCGTATATACGTTACACATGGTGAAAATTACGAAAACGCCTATGCAGCCAGCCCGTTCGTGGGATTCGAACCTCAGACCGAACTACCAGTGTTCGGCGACTTTACCGCTCGGCCGCTGGTGGGCTTCTTCGATGAAGGACAATGGCAGATTGTGCATTAGTTTATGTTATTTTTCAGTGTGTTTCGAAAATAATAGTAAATAGTTAAAATGTAATTATTACCATCGACTAGCAATAATGCACTAACTAGCCAGTATTGATCTAATAGATTGTTTAAAAGACTACTAATTAAGAATAAATTTTTCTTATATAACATATTTAAAAAGGAAATGTGCATGAAAAGTTATTATTAAGAATATTTTTAATTAATTAATGAATTTGTTACTTCCCATTCAGAATTAATCATCAAACTGTTTTATTAATGAAAGATAAAATTTTTATGCTCTCCTTGAGATAAATATGCTAGGTTTTTGAGCTAATACAAATTTTCTTTTCAAAGCTTTTTGTTCCTTTACAAACGGAAAGTGGGAATTCTGAAAGCATGTGTATGCTGAAATTGTTGAGAGGAAATTTTGGGATTCCTCTAGTGTAAGATTTAATAAATTTCAGCGAATGACAAGACCTCCTTCTAGTTTCTGCGAATTTGTCGTTCCGCATGTAACATACATATCAAACAGCGTATCACAATTTGCTTCGACAATTTTCCAACGAAAAGAATAATGATTGAATAGAAAGCATGAAAATATTGAACCCCCCCAAAAAAAAGCCTCTAAATTAAGATGACAGTTATAAATATCAGCGAAAGAAGGAAGTTAAAAATATTTTCTTATATATGAAATAGTTTATGGTTAACTAACTCCAGTTAACTGTTTAATAGGAAACTAGTATGTAGTTCATGTCTAGAAATGAACCATGACTTTATCAGTAAGCAAGAATAATCAAGATTGTTAATTATCTCACTAGCGTCTGTTCTTAATGATACCAGGAAAATATTATTAAATGAAGCGCTGATAGTAAAAAAATAATAGTAATAATTATTCAAAACTTTTTTTTTTCAAGTATTCCATAAGTTTTTCAGATAGCTGTCCGTATTGCGGTATAATTTCCGTCGACAGAAGTAATTTAATTATTTCATATAAAGCAGCGTCTTATATCTAAAATTGTTAGTTTAATTATTTGCTTGTAGTGCAGAACAATAAAGCAGTATTAGTGCAACCTGTTTTTAAACTTTAACAATTTATATCATATCATTTAAAAGCAAACTGCATCATAAAATATTTAATTACTGAAATGCTTAAGTTTGAAACTCTTTGTAAACGATTTTTTTTCTCTTAAATGGGCTACGTATTCAGTGTTAAATTTTTAACTCTGGAATTTAATTGAAATCAAAACGTAAAATATGTGTGTCTCGTAAAGTCGATCATAAAAATCGGATTAGCGCCGTTGAAAACTGATAAATAAGTTGCAAGAGCATTGGATGTCATTAAAATCACTATTTTGCACATTATTAAAGGGAATTGACAAGCTCTGGCATACAGGAATTCTTTAGTAAATTCGAGTTATATTTAAATAATTGAAATAAAAGCAAAGAATATGAAGATTGTTTTCCATCATCTCAATCATCAATACCTAATCTATCTACAATCCAAAGAATCTACATTCTTAATCAGTTATTGTAGGAAGTCCCTGTCTAATTATTTGATTAATTTTAATCAAGCAGTACAAATGTGAATTTGCAAATCTTAATAGAAATTTTTTAACTGTTTCAATAAGGTGTGTGTGTGTAGTTGTTGTTTCTGCGTGTTTTATTGCATGGAAATAAGGCGAGGTTCTGTTTAGTAATTCGTATTGTACTAACTCAAGAAAATGTTTTACTGTTGGCAGAAAAAGGCTTATGAGAACAGCATATGAGCAGTAATTAAAATCTAATTAAAATGCAAATGTTTGTGACTGCGTTTGAAACAGTAAGGCTTTCTTTAAGCAGACACCTTTTGTAAAAATGTTAAGACAATCAAACCACTCCAATTTATGTGAATGTATCTGTATTTGGTGTAATGGTTGTATTTATGTTTTATAACATTCGATATAAAATATGTTATGTTATGTAGAAGTGAGGGGGCTACCTAATATTTACCCTAAGTAAGCAGGTATTAGCCCCACACACTAACTAGAAAACTAACAACATTAATATAAAATATGTAAATTTTAATCTTTTCTATCTGATTTTAACAATTTACTTTTATTTTAGATTTTCGGATGTTGGGGGTGGAACTGTGAAACATGGCCAGGTTAGCTGCATATTACCAGGAAGATTTCCACTACGCATCTATAGGATATGGGCCTAAGCAAAGGAAAGCTGCTTATTTCATTTACGAAGAACCGAAGAATAATTTATTCAACAGTAGCTTTCAAAATGGACCCAGGCTAAGAGGTTTGGCTGCATCTGATCCCGCATTGTCCCCTGTCACTTATCCTAAAAAGACAGCAGTAATGACTCTAAAACAAAGACCTAATTATTACGATTCTCCCCTTGTGGAAAATTCCCGTTTAGCTGTTCAAAGATTACAGAACGTTTATGATGCTCCTGATAATGCTTGTGTAAGTTTGAGACATCCGTCAGATATCTATGAAATGGAATCCGTTTACTCGTATAGAACAGATAATAAATGTTCTACAAAGAGTAAACACAAACTAAAAGATCCTTGCCGTAAAAGAATGTCCTATAATGAATCATTTGACGTCTGCTGTCGATCACCTGATCAGTTTATTCCAGAACCTGGTACAAGATGTGAAGTACCGCATGCCTTACATAATTATGATGCTTATCGTAATGGTTATTTTATAGATCGTACAGAAGATAGCTTTTATCCTCCTGTATCATATCGAAGCGATTCAAGTCATGGAAAATGGCTGCAGTGGCCATGGGCTTCATCAGAAACTTATGCTAACCCAGCTTTACTTTCTCCACCATCTCCATTAGATTCGGGTCTTAGTTCTCAATCTATAACTTCAACTCCCAGTTTGGATGCTGAACCTATACCTATGCATACAGGGCCGTTGGTAATCTCTCATTCTGAACGTAATCATATCTGTTCTTGCCCTAAAAGCATGTACTCGGAAACTGGACGTTTACTTTCACCTCAAAGTACATATGACTCTGGAAGAGGCTCCCCTGGAATGTACTGCACTCCTCTGCGACATTCAAATTCATCAGTTCGAGTAAAAAAATGTCGAAATCATCCTCATAAATTAGCCACGTGTGTTAAAAGTGATTTTAATGACGCTGCTGTTCATCAGGAACAGGTACGCTATGGGATGATGGGACTTGTCGGTGAGTCAGTGAAACAAGAGCATTCTACTTCCACATTACCAAAGGTACCTAATGGAAATTCTCAGGAACGAGGTTTATTTACCAGTGGGCATTCTCCAGCCGTCTTTTATGAATACGTTGACGAAAACGGGGTACCATTGAAAAGGATTTTGACGTGTGCTTCGCCATCTCGAAAATCATCGAAAAATTATGTCAAACCATGCGTTGTTATAACTGAAGCATCTGAAAAAAGCTCATCTGGCGGAGGACCTTCTTCCCCCGAACAAGAAAACTCGGATAAGAGCCCAGAACCGGAATCATCGGTAAGCTTAGCTGTTTCAAATTCAGCTTCCAATTCTTCATCTGTTAATTCAAGCAATATGGAGCTGAATAGTGATGAACGCCGCAAAGTGAACAAAGCAACTGAAAAAGAGATACGCGAACTTGAAGACATGTACAAAAAATGCAATTTAAGTGATTATGATTTACTTGATAGAGCAGAAAGGAGAGATCTTCCTACTGCACATCAGACAAAGGTGGATCAAATTCAGGGGTTAACCCGTAGTAAAAGTGATACTCTGTATGAAGTAATGAGTCCTTACCACAATCCTTACGAGAGACCCCCACGTGCTCCACCACGTAGGAGGTCGGGTATGCCTGACAGAATAGCCGATGACATGGCTTTGCGAAAACTGAATAAACCAGTTACAACTTCTTCTTTCAATTCGAATGAGAACACTGTTACTTATATGCTGTGCTCATCCCATTTTACACCTACTGTGCCAGAAATAAACAAAGATATTCTCCTTATGGACAATCCAGATATTGAATATGATGATCTTTCTTTTAGGAGACATTATTTCGGTAGAAAAAGTAAAATTCCAGACCCTCAGCCTCCATTTGGCATACCGTTAAGGCCTCCACCTCCACAGAGAGTATTCAATGACTACTTGCATTTCGCACCAGTAGAGGGCCTTCAGCCTTTGTGTCATCCAAGGCGCAACCCAGATGTCATCCGTGATGATATGGCATACAGAACACTACGAAAAGATGAACCTGAAAGACTCTATTACGATATAGCACAAGTTTACAATAAAAAAAGGGGTTAGAACAAATAATGTGATGAAAGATGGACAGTATTAAGTCTTTCATCCCCAAGTGCAATTTTATTGAATAGATGTATATTTAATGTATCCTTAGTCTTCAAAGCCTTTTGTGCACTAAGTCTGTATCTGGTTATAAACTGTTTCTTTACTAAGTACTTCTAATTTTCTTCATTTTTTCTTCAATTTCTTATTTTGTCCTATACAGTTTTATTGTTTAAGTTGTCTAACTTAATTCCTTATATTTTTCATATCTCCAAAGAAAAACTGGAGTAAAATTTAATAAATCTGGAAGCATTGTTTTATAATCTTATTATATTTTACGCTAAACCAGTCTCACTAAATACCAGTAACATTATTGTAATATCTAATAAAATATTTCTTACTTCAGATAGGAACAGCCACTGTATTCCAAATTAATTTTGCTAAAATTGCCCTCCTTAAGACTGTCATATACCCTCAGCCTTTTTTAAAGCGTTTCATTATTTTTTTTATTTCCCTCTAACAAGATTTATCGTAGTAATTGGATAAATAAATAATTCAGAATAAGATTTATTTAATTTTTTTTGTCATATTTAAATTTTTAATTTCATTTATTAATTTTATCACGGATTTATTCTTGAGATAATTCATTCAAGATCACAAACGGCTTAGTACTCTATTGATTAAGATACTGGCAGTCGCACGCAATATTATATTAATGCTCTTAATTATAGTTTAAAAACGTTTAGTATGAAATAGTCATACAAATACATGTATTTGTAGGTATCTTTTTGCTATCGTCAAAATTCATTTGCTGTCAAAAAACTAGCGGAGAAAGTATAGATATGTGTTAGTTGGTGTTGGTGTATTTAATTATGGCAAAGCACACGAGGGCTATCTGCCTAAAGGGAGGGATGCCTTTCGTGGAGGACTTTCTAAGGGAAACTGGCTCGTATACACGTTACACATGGGGAAAACCACGAAAACGCCCATGCAGCCAGCCCGTTCGCGGGATTCGAACCTCAGACCGAACTACCAGTGTTCAGCGTCTTTACCGCTCGGCCGCTGGTGGGCCAGATATGTGTTAGAAAGAGTGTTAGAAAGAGTGTATTATAAACCTCATGCAATTGAGTAAAATTTGAGCTACGTGTAAATATGTATATGTGTTTATGTTTTATCTATCTCGTAATTAGTGTAGCGACAGTTACAGATATCTTTGAATGAGTGGCAGTAAATGAAATTTTATCTTGAAGCTTTTCTTTATAATCACTTATTTTTTATTTATGTTAGAGTCGTCGTTTAGGCCTGACTTTCATATCGATGAGCTCAAACTACTTTATAATATTTTGTTTTAAAAACACGTAACTGTTTGAAAACCTTCGTTTAATAGTAAAAATCTTTCATTTAAGAATGTTTCTGTTTATTTTAGTGTAAATATTTAAAACGTTGCCCCTTTTTGTAATTTATTTAATATAAAATTAAAATACTAAAAGAATCATTTTCGTATGAAGTTATTATACGTAAAAAATTGCTACAATTTTTACAAATAAATAACTGATCGAATCTCAAATATTTGTTTTCATTCACCTTTATGTAGGCTGCAATAAGAGGTACCTATTTTGAACGATTATGCTTCAAAATGTCTTATCACCTGCACTAATACTGAATACAAGTGAATCAGAATTGAAACATAATGATGCCGGCTGTCTTATGTTGAAAAAAATGGGCCGATAATTATAATGGTAAAATATGATAGTTAATAGTTTCATTAAAGTTAAGTTTTATTTCTTTGCTAAGAACAAATACTGATTTTTAGTACAAATTCTACCTGTAGTCAAATATTTGCCAAAGGTATATAAATATTAAGTATATTCAAAATAAATATGTGTTATAGTTGCAAAAGTGTATCATTTCAACAGCTTATTTTATACATAACTGTATCATTTTAATGACTTATTTTATATTAGTAGTTCAAAGAGCATTTTATTTTGCTGTTTTTCCTTCTTTGAAGCGTATACAAAAATTTTATGTAAATCTATGTAGAATAAATGTATGTTTAAAAGTGTTTGATTTTTGTAAGTATCACTGATCTGTGATGAGTTGCTGCTGAAGTTGAGTAATATTATTAGAACTATTATGCTGTGTAAAAAATGTAAATATTTTCTTATTTGTAAAAACTTTTATATATGTTTATTATTAGCATTATTAAATGGCCATATAGAGCTATTACTGCTAAAGAAATTAAATAATACTGCAATTTTAAGATGAATTTGGCTTATTCAAAGCATAGTTTCCTTTAGATTATGCACAGTGTAAGAACATCAGAATAGTGAAGTTCATATATTCCGGTAAGATGTTTTCCTGACTAATGGAAGAATGTACCGTTTATTTAAATGCATGAAGTGAATTTAAAAATAAAATACTGCGACAAATTCCATTTCATCACTTATCTTTATCACGTATGAAGAACAAAGAAACTTATTTCTAGTTCTTTATTCCCGACGAGTCTATAAAGCCACAAGAATTACCAGACATTTCTTAAAATAATTATTTCAGACGTAATGACATTGAATTAAAATGTATATGAATAAAAATGCAATGTTTTTTATGGAATATTTCTTATAATGATTTGCATATGGAAAATCAGTTTAAAGTCATTACTAAAACATTTTCTCTTGAAATAGTTCTTCTTGATGTCAGAATGAGAGCTTTTATTGTGCATTCAGTTTAAATTTCATTAACAGGTCTGTAATGATGATCTTATGATATGCAAATTTGCATTAAAACATAATTTAATAATACTTTGGACGTGAAAAGACAAGAGAAAGATATATTTTTGAGTAAAACCTTTTAGTGATGATTTTCACTTTTTTATTCTTGTGGTAAGCTAAGATGCATGTAGATAGTTTATGACCATGATAAATGTTGTTGCTATATTGTAATTACTTGAAAACGGTTATTTATATATATTCAGTAGACTGAATTAAATAATGTGGCTGCAATTTCTTTCTTGCCTTTCTTATAATATGTAGAACCTACCCTCTCTTACTGAACCAAAAATTCCGTAATTTTTAACAAGAAATTTTCATATTCATGATGAAAAGAATTCTCCGATTGACACATTTAATATAAATTTGAGTTAGTAAAAAATATTTTCCAGTATTTCTGATTAGTTAAAATTTTTATTAAATGTATACTGTCATCTTAAAAACGTCTGATGCGGACACGACGTGACTTCCGTGTACGCTTATCAACTATACACATTTTTTGCTGCATTGCATTTAAACTTCTTATTTTCAACATGACCATTTTCAACATTTAAAATACTTCTATGATTGGAAGCATGTCCAACGATTGCGAAAATAAAGGCCGGGTAAGGATTTTATATATATACATTCATACACACAGACACACTTTTGGTCCTGCTGAATGCAATAAAAAAGAAAGGTGCACAACTAGGTGTTATAGCAGTCCCATATACAAAATTTCAGCGCTCTACGACAAATCATTTTTGAGTTATGTGAAATACAAACGTAAGACAAGTGTACAGACGTCACGAAAAAATCCATTTTATAACTCCTTTTGGAATAAAGAATCCTTTATGCTGACGACATGCAAAATAATAGTCAAAATAGAACAGTCAGAATATATTTTTCTGTTGAAATCTGAAATTTGAACTTGTTTTACTGTAGGAAAGGACTTTTCAATGATAACCCCCCTCCCCGAGCAGTATTTTAATTGTGCTGTTTCTAAGTAGTTCTGCTAGTTATTTTCCTATAATTTAAACTGTATTCCAGTTAGATATATAATATTTTTTTATTGAATATTATCTTTATTGGAGAAAGCAGTTATTGTTAGGTATATCATGCGTGAATTTTAGGTCTGAAGTTTGCATATATTAAAATGAGTAGAATGAATATTTTCATTCATCATTTCATGATGTTGAATACTGCATGATATATTTATGTTGTAAAATATTTAAGAGGAGCAGATTCTTCTTCTTCTTCTTCTCTCTCTCTCTCTCGTTTTTTTTTTTTTTTTTTTTTTTTTAAAGTAGAGTTTTTATTCTTTCCCAATTCAGATCTTTATAAAAGGTCTGCTTCGAATCTTCAGTTCTGTTTCCGTATCTGCTTTTCTTTAAATTTTCTTTTTATGTGTTCCGTCATAAATAAAAATGAACTACCTTTTTTATTTTCCATCTTTAGTTCAAAACAGTGCTCATAATAAAATTTGTTGGCGTTTCTTGTGAAAGGCTGAATTCAATTCTAAGCTGATTTTTCTTAAAATTTTACTCTATCCTAATGTCTCTACAGTGGTGCCCGAACTAAAAAGGTGCTGAATGATAATTCTCCTCACCCAGAATTTGGCGATTCTTCCCCTAAAAACCTCAGTCGCCCTTTAAAAGGGGGGAATATATAAAGTATTTCTCTCGCCTTCTCAGCGAGCTTTCGTGGTGTAGTGGTCTGCACGCTCAGCGCGTAATTGAGAGGGCCGCGGTTCGATTCCCGGCGAAGGCGTTGCTAATTTTTCATCTCTCCGGCCTCCAAAAATAATCCTAATGTCTCTACAGGCTAAATCAAGTATATAAATTTTGTTCGAATAATTAGTTCAAGGTCTTTTACAGAATGCAGTTAAAAATCTTCCTTTTAGATTATATAGGTCCATTGTTTTTATATTCTTTTTATAAAAGCTAATCTTGTTGGTTTGTTGGGGAAAAATGTCTCATCAGATATGCATATTTTGACATTTGTAGACGCAAAACCTGAGTTTGAAATACTGTAGATTTGTATTAACTTTTAATTAAATTTTTAAAAAAATTTTTAACTTTTTCATGTGATTATAATCAATAGAGATTAATTTTTCATTTGTTGGATTCATTTAACTAAATTTACAGTAAAGGGTAAAGTACTGTGTAATACTGTAAATTTACTGTAAAGGGTAAAATACTGTGTAATATTGTAAATATACTGTAAAAGGAGGATTCATTTAACTAATATACTGTAAAGGGTTGCCCTTAGAGGGAGGTTTACAAAATAATTTTGTGAGGTTTTCTTCATATATTACATCATTTTCTAAATCAATAGCATAAATAATTAACGCAAATTCTTAGTATAAAAATACAGATTCGATATTTAAAATAATTTTTTTAATCTCTCAACTGTCCAATTTAACTCGG